TATAAATTATAAATAAATTATTTGATAGTTTCATAGTGTTGCCGATTATCTATTTGCAAGATTTCTCAGAAATGTTTAATTTTCTAAAATTCTGTTTTAAATAATAGATATTTAAGGATCTTAGCTCCACTGAGATAGAGTATAAGTCAAATTAGTTGACCATAAAGAAGCTAAACTCTATCAATTTTAAAGAAATTCTTCTGATAGTTACGGATTTTTTATTGCTACTTATTGTTACTTGTACATCCATTGCAAAAGGTTTATTACCTAACAGTTGATTATTGCTTATATTATAATAATATTTATTAATATTTACTAAATATTGCACTAGTATTACGCTAAATAAAATATATTTAGTAGCTATTATCAGACTTTTGTCACCAGCACATTCCACATTTTCTTTTGTCAATAATAATGATAATGCTATCGAATGATATATGAAATCGCCCATCATCAAGACAATAACGTCATGAATTGATGTCAGATAACTGTCCTCTCAATAACGGAAGATTCATGTTAAGTTCCATGTTAAAATTGTTTTATAATTCACGATCTCACAGCAATGAAGCATTGAATCCAGATTGATAGACTCTGGATGGGACGGAACGGTTTACTGTAATGTGACGCGTAATACACGAGATGGAAACCATAAAACGAACGTGCGAAATAACAGAAACTAGGCCATCCATTACTATATTAAATGATTGGTAATCTAATCTTGACCGAACATACATTTCCGTATTTCATAAAATATCAATTTCAATTGCGTTATCGCTTTATGTAATCGTGTAACTCCAGTGGAAATCCTTTTCTATGACATTCGGTAAAGCTTTCTAAAATTCATTAACCATTTGTACACGATTCTCGATGTAGAAAATGTTGATGTATAAACTGAAGAGGAAGATGAATTTAGGTGAATACTGGTATTGAAATAATGCTTTAGGTACAGTCGAGCACAACGAGTTAAGATTTGGGTCCAGATTGATGTGGTGGTAAACGGTAGCAGCCGCATGAGCGATTGCGCTGAGTTTTGTTTCGCAGTTTGCTAGGTTACAAAACACGTGGAATAGTAGACGGAATGGAGGAGTAAAAGCGGATTGCAACCGCAGTAATGCCCAATTTGTTGCGAAGTTTTCACTGAATACATCGGCCTGAGTAATCGGTTAGAGATCAACCATTAATCACTAAACTATAATTCAGTTCCGGGAAAACTTTGAATTAATTACATCGAAAATTTGAATAACCTCTTGTAATTTATACTCTAATGTCAATCATATTTGTATTTGTATACATATATAATATGATAATCAAGAGATAATATGATATACTTTAATGATAATTTTATTGTAAATGTTATACGAATATATATTTCTATCTGTGCACTATGTATTGTATATAGTAAATATTATTAGTATTAGTATTGTATATATAATAGTATATATTAAATAATAGATATTTTAATATATAAATTTATTTTGAGCGAAAAATCTTTTACGAAGTTCTACGAAAATAGAATATAATTTTAAATCAACTTTAATAAAGAAAGCTCCTTTTCTTATTGTATTATTGCTGTCATCAACATTACGAATTCACTAATTAATAGACATATTAGAATTGTATATTTAACATTTAAGTTTTTTATTGCTCGTATGTATTATCATTTATGTCGAATATACATATATAGTGTTACACAATATGTATACTTTATTGTATGTTTCGATCAGATATCACTGATAAAATAGCACCGTGAGCGATATTGGTATCCATAATCCGCGTGGTCTCCAAATAGACGCCATGCGTACGATCGAACGGACGAATGAACGAACGAATCAACGAGCGAGCGAACGAACGAACAAATGTTCGAAGCTCGATTGTGCGGAGGATAGAAAGAGAAGTGAGGTCTCTCGGTGACCGGCAGAGATTCTAGGTGGCTTTGACCCGCCAATTCAGCATCACCCATACGGGCACTCAACCGCAAATCGAGTTCCGGCCGTAGGGCGGAATAAAATCGACCCCGTCAACCTCGACTTTCCGGCTCCTCCCTTCCGGTAACCGATGCAATCCTTCGCATGTAGGCGAACCTTATAGTAAGACATTACTCGCGAGGGACGCGTTTATCCCGAGAAAAGGTGTGAGGGAGAAAGGGGGAGAGATAGATAGAGAGAGAGAGAGAGAGAGAGAGAGAGAGAGAGAGAGAGAGAGAGAGAGAAAGAGAGAGAGAGAGAGAGAGAGAGAGAGAGAGAGAGAGAGTATGTAAGCGGAACGCAAAGAAAGAGAAGATAAAAGAAGAGAGCTTGGATAGACTTTAATGGGTGTAGCAAAATGGAAAAGCCTGGCCGCGGAATAACCGGGCCACGCTCAGGATTATGATTTCCGCAAAGAACGCGCGTGTCGCGCGTTGATATTCTTTCCGGATCGCGATCGTAAAGTCCGTCGTTTTATACGGAAACCGGGGCAAGAGTAGTGCGGTCGGTAAGCTTCAACAATCTGCATTTGTATACACGGGATTTTAATGCGCGCACGTTCTTGGATAAATTGGATAGGAAAGTTGCATGCGAGACAATTTTGTATCTTGTCCGTCGCGTCGATGAAGTCAAGAATTTTTTTATGACAGCTGCTATGAACAAAATGAAATAATTGTGTGTACATATGTTTATATAATCCGAGATAAATTCCGAGCTATTCTAAACTCCGCAAAACTCCCGGGTCTCGAGAAGTTCGTATTGAAAGAAAAGTGTTTGATAATCGTGATTATTATAATTGTGTGAAATGATTATTTAATGTTAGGAATTCCATTTTCATATTTCGATTGTATGAAATGATTATTTAATGTTAGGAATTCCATTTTCATAGTTATTATACTACTTTAGTATAACAATTGATAATATTGTACAAAAAGAAAAGTTCTTTGGTTTGTGTAGTAATAATAATTTTATATAATATATGTATATAGAGCTGACACACAAAAAATGACTAATAATTATAATTATTTTCAACTAACTAGTTATATATTTTATATAGCTATCGAAAATATTATATATATAATTTACATATAGAATTAATATATATATAATAGCGAGCTATATATTTTTATATATAAATATTATGTATAACATTATAAATATAAATATTACTATTACTAATATTATAGCAGTAATAACAATAAAAATTAAAGTTCTAACCTAATAACCTAATAATTATTTTATCAATTATAATCACAAATACCAAACACTTTTCTGTCGGTGAGTGATATCTGAAATGAGAAATTCGTTTCCTTTAACTTGCTCTCTCTTTAATGACTAAGTATAAGAGATCCGACATTATAGGTAGGATGAGTGGCGCGCGGGGTGAAGTTGTCGCTTCCGCCGGAGATGACGCGGATGCGTTCGTTCCCGCCGTTATCGTTGTCTACTTTATTACGTGCAGCCTGCATGCGTCGTGTATGCGCACGTGTCGTCCCGTCGTACGTTGTACGTGAACGACGTGGTTACTGCTCGTACTTTCCACCCTTCGCGCATACAGAGAGCTAATCCACGACGGCTGATTTATGGATGAACAGATATACTTGTCCACCCCTTTACTGCTTTCGCAAGAAGCAACTTACAGGCTTATTGTTGCGCTAAGTATTGCGAAAGCAAACGCTTTGCGCTCTCTCACGTCTCATGGTCTTCATGGTAGCGTCATGAAGATCAAATTTACTACTCTGTACTCCGCTTTTGCTCGGGATATCTTCTAATTTCTGGTAACCAGATACCTGAATGTAAGCTCTTTTATTAGATATCGTATGATTATAGGATCACGTCCATTAGCTGGATTAAAGACAAATATAGTACGGTTATCCAATCTCGCGGTTTTCCTTCATCTGATGTACTTTTCTATCTAACATAATTCTACTGAGTTTCTAATATACTAAGAAAAAACTGTTTGATGTTTGTAACTATAATTGCATAGTAAAATAATTATGTTTAGGAGCTCCATTTTTATAATTATCATTAATATATATAACTAATGTTATAAGTAATAAGAATTACTAAACAATAAATAAAAAAAAATATAATAATTATTATATTTATAATCCTATATACAAGGAAATATACATATATAATTGGTCTCAAAAACGACTATATTTTTTGTATACAAATGTAATTATTACTATTATATGGAAAAAGTTTTGCTCAAGTATTCAAAAATTTAATCAAGTACAAATCTGAAAATAATTTTGCTGAAGCGTTCTCTCAAGCTAATGCTGCAAAAAATATTAATATTCTAGCAACCTACAATTTAAGCATATTTATTCCTGCATATTTATTCTGATCCAAACAAATTATTTCTAGATTTATATCTAGATTTTTAGATACTTCAACAAAACGATTCTTTCTATGTAACATTATGTAGTAATAATAAATAAAAATATGAAATTCTCAATTATAATTATTTTACCATATAATTACGAATATCAAATTTTTTCTAATAGTGTACCATTAATATCTATCACCGAGATAATTTTTTGCGAAACGAATCATAAACATAATTACGATTTTCGCTAAAACAATCTCGCTCGATTGGGTAAATGATCGAGATAATTGGAACAACATATAAGTATAGAAGCGTGATTCACATCTCCGTTAACGCAGAGTTTCTTCTCTCTTCAGATTATCTTTTCTTTTTTAAATGCACGTACGTGCTGTGTAGCCCAGCTCACTCAACTTATATACGATATTTTCACGTTCGTACTTTTTTGCCGACAGTGCCGCCTGATATTCTGGACTATGACACCAGCACGGACATGGTGGTGATGGAGGGACGAAACGTGACTCTGCGTTGCGCTGCGACGGGTTCCCCGGCGCCCAACATTACCTGGCGGCGCGAGGACGGTCAGCAAATTCAGCTCGGGAACGGAGAGGAAGGTGAGTTTTAACGAGCTGCCCGCGAATGAGTGGTAATTCGCAGTCAGGCATGGGTGATAAAGTCGGAGAAAATTTCGCTGAATTAAGATGACTCGTTCTCTCTATCGCACCTCTTCTTATCGTGCTCCTCCACCTCCCTCTCGTCGCAACGATGCTTCGTTTACGGCGAGAGTTAATCGAATACGACGAGCGGAAGACGCCACGTTTGATACTCGACAGAGTGCACTCGACGATCGTTCGCGATGCGGTCCTTTTCCGGATTGCGCTTTTAACTCCCCTCCCCTCCCCTCCCCTCTTTCCCTCTTTCGCTCCTTTTAAATGTCTCTTCTCGTCTCGAAATGTACCAAGTATTTTATGTGTCATTAGCTCCGCGCCGGACAATCACGAAATTTCTGCGCTCCTTTGCCATGGAAAACTATAGAGTTTAATTTTTCCCTTCGGTCTTTTATAAACTTTTTTACTCTATTTGACTTTAAAAGTTCTCTGTCTTGTCAACATCTTACTTATTTAATTTTACTTGTTTTAAACTGTAATTATTTCTGCTAATCCTTTTTAATATTTTTGCTTTTTATGAACATTATTATTGTACTGATTATTTTAATTCTGTAAATATTGGTTCTGTGCTTCTTTAATTTTATGCATCTATTTACGGGATATTTTTGGACCGACTAATATAAACGGCTTTCGATGTGAATGACATATTCTTTTTACCATTTTTGTCTACTAAAACTTGTGTAAAATTTATATGTAATAAAAAATATTTTTACTGTATCCATTTTGTATTTATGTTAAAACCGATACTTGTTAAAATTTTTGTACCTATTGAATTTTTAACATATCCAAATGTTCATTTAAAATAATGTCATAGTTATTCGAATATTTTTTGTTAAATTGAATATTCAACATTTTGAATATTTGATATTAAATATATTCAACACTTCTTAAAGTAACATAATTTATGAGTAAATAAACAATTAAAAAAATGTTTGTTGAAATATAAGTTTTAAAATAAATAAATAAAATGTATTAATTTAAAATGCTTTTATAATTTGCTTATAGTGTTACATTTTTGTATTAACTTTTACATATAATATTTGTAATATTACTTCTCAATATATTCATTATACACAAATTTCATGGACCGTTTCGAATATAATGTAAAATGTATTAAATTTGACACTAATTTTCCAACTGCGTATATCGTAAGAATGACCCGAAAAAAATTCGAAACGTTTGAATATATTTTTTTCTTTAATTTTTTTAATAATAAAATTATATTGTATTCCTTCGCATCAACTACAGAGTGTGACACTCATTTGTCCTTATTGTCCTATTATTATATCAAACTTTTTAAGTTTTTACATTATATTTCTTCTCCACTGTACATCGATTTTTACTGATATTTCCGTTATAGAAATGTTGATTTCACCTGTTTCTTCTTTTTTATCTATGGTGCTGCGAATTCACATAATACGTAAGCACACGGAGGTAGAACTTTGCTTATGAAGTTTGTAACTTTCATAGCTGACTTGCAAAAAACGTTATGTACGATGCTTTTTAAAATAATATAATTTAATTCGTCTGATAAACGTTTGAAAAAGCGCGGACGAGCTTTAAATATTTACAAATTTAACATCGTCCAGATTATTTCTCGTCCCTGAAAGATAAATGAACGCGCCCGGCTTTCGGAAGATATCATTGGGGGAATCGTACGGGTTCGACTACTCGCAAACCCGAGTAGCTCGAATCGAGTAAATATCCCTCTAACGTCCCTAAACGCGGCGGCAACGCGCCAAAAGCTCCGCTCCGTTACGCGCTTGTGGCTGTAAAGGCATCGCCTGAAAAAAGATTTACGCTCCGCGGCGGCGGAAATACATTCGGGCTAAACTGCACGAGTGCATTCGAGCCGTATCAAGCCTAGGGCCGCTCAGCACTGCACCGCGGCGGTCGCTCGAGAGCGCAAATACACCGCGTGGCAAGGCCAATAGGTTAGAGCGAGGTGATACGTTTGCAGAGAGACCGAGGAAGATCTTCTATATTTGCATTGAAATTGGCAAACACACGGCGAGCGCGCGATACGGTGACTTCGGTGCATATAGGCGTGCATGCGCGGTCGTAGTCGTATGTATGGGCTCGAGAGGGGGTGATAAACAACCGGACCAAACTTAAACCGCGATTACGCTATCCATAGTTTCGTTATTACGCCGTTAATCGGATAAAGTGTGTACCGAGAAGGGAGACCACGATGTTTCGATCGTGACGGGTCGCCAGCTTATTTGGGACACTGCACTGGCGCAGCGTGGCGATCTCTCAAAAGAATATTCCCGCGTAATAGTTTTTCCAAGGGGTCATTACAGACTAGAATTATCACAATTGTGGAATTAGACAATTATTCTAACCTTGAGATAATAAAAAAGAAACAAGGTAGTATCCAGTAATTAGTATAAAAATCATCAAAATATAAAATCTAACAATATTATAAGACTGAAAATTATTAAAAGTGACCAGACAAATAAAAGATAAAATAAAATTCTGGCATTTACCAAATAAAAAATATATTAATTATATGTACAATAATATACATTTAAGAATATTTTATTATATACATGGAAACGTTAATTAAGACATTACTTATTTATTATTTATATTTTTAATTACATTGAAAATGATCTAATTTTTGGTCGAAACATCTGTTTTATGTTTTAATGTATATTATTTAGATAGAATATTAAATATTAGTTAACTAACAACCATCTTTGACTCTTAGTCCTTGATATCTTTGAAATTGTTTTATTCAATTGAGTTTTATGTATTAATTTAATATACATATAATTTATATATTTTTTATTATAAATTATTAAAATTTTGTTTTGTGTATTTTTTAATTTTTTATTTAATTATTTTATATTTTGTAATATTTTTGAATTTATATTTTGATATTATATTTTGATAATTATATACACGAAAGGACAATTTTGATGAAATACCTAAAGATAGTTATTTAGATACTTCTAAAAGTAATTTTGTGGAACTATCAAAATAATTATGTTTGATATTCTAGCAGCTAACTCGAGCATCCCTAACATAATTATTTTAGTAGTCGAACAAAATTATGATTTATGGAATGAGTCATATAAAGTAAAATTTTATGATCATGTTCTTGCAAATAGAAAAGGAGAATATGGAATGCTAATGTTTATGAATGAATATGCCAATCATATGTATACATTGTGCTCAGGCATGATGGAAATGATACAGAACACTTTGATAATCTATTATGAAAAAGAAGTATCCATCTAAAACTTTTGTAAATAAAAAAGTTTTTGATATAATTGTTTATTGTCATTATTTGATATAATTGTATAACATTTGCGTTTTTATTTTATTCAAATACGCTAAAATATATTTATAATTTATTCTGCATATATGCATGCGCGCACGCGCGAGTGTGTATGTATGTGTGTATTTTACTAACATCAATATCATGGTCGTTCTGAAAAGGATAGTTGTGTATGCAAATGAGAGATGATCCTGTCAGATTAATTTGTGTCGGATCTGGTCCTCCCTCTAGATTTGGCAACTGGTGTTCAGTCGCTAATTGTAAGTGTTGTAACAGTCGCTTGTTCGCCTCTTCGTCATCCCTGGTGATTTCGCTCTCAGCGTCAGAATGCCCTTGTTGTTGTCTCATGCGTCGTAGTCGGCGCTGAGTAAAGCTCCGCAGTGATAAACTGAAGTAGTAACAAAAGAGCGGTCCGGCTGCTACGTCTGTATGGACACCGATTAATTGTTCGCGATCCTGCTTGGATAGTTCGATGAATCTGTATGATTGACTCCGTCTGTACAGACCGATTGGTTGTTTGCGGTATTACCAAAATGCCTCGGTGAATCGATATATTTGGCAGCGTGCCTCTCTTGTGAAGTGGTGGTGAAGCCGGCGAGAAAGAATTTGGAGCACCGAGAAAAACTCAAAGTCCCCTGAGATTCCACGGCAGGCAGATTTCCACGTGGCATTTTCATATTGCTCCGCAGGTGACTCCTTAGAATTGGGCTTCGCAGACATTGGTAAGCTGAATACCGCAGACTTCTCGTCGGAAATTGCAAGCACCGAAGATTCTTGTCGGATAAATCAGAATCGCTTCTCATCCTTCCTCTGTCCCGTAAATAGTCGAGGCGAAGCGGCCTTCTTGAAGACGTAGATTGATTAGATTGCTCTTCGGAATTATGTTGCAGCTGTCCTTCCAGAAACGAAAGCGGATGAGTGCCGTTGTTACAGCGAACTCGCGAGTTTTTATCTAAGTCCATGTCGGATTTGACTTACGAGTTCAGCCGCTATCTAGTGATGAGTAGCGAATCAATTGCGAATTGATTGCCATTCGTCAAGCATTTGAAAGTAGTTGCTTAAACTTCATACTACTTCTGCAACGACAATCGCCATAATATATGTATATAATAATTTAAAAAATACAAGTTGATTATCCTTTATTTATGTAGATATTTATTTTTTAAAAAATTGCACTTCTAACAATTAATTCATGTTTTTAAGTTTTTTTTTTTATACATTGGCAAAATTCATTACATCTATATCAAAATTCAGTTTAGTACATAATTTCACTTTCGCCAATTCATGCATTATTTATTTTTTAAAAGAATTTTTCTAACATAAAAACGTTATTTACAAGATTTGTCAAATTTATTTTTATTAAAAAAAATTTAAAACTTATGTAAGATGTTTTACATTTCACACAACTCACACTATAAAAAAATAAATAATATGATGAGTAAGAATTATATAATTTATAATGTGGAAATGTGGCGTTTTTACAAAAATTAGCACTTTACCTTTAACTGTGTAAATATATCTTTATATTAACCAAAAAATTACTATACAATGATATTATTTTATAATTTTTATACATACTGTACAAATTTTTAATATGTATATATAATGATAATATCACATATTTTATTTATATTTTTATATATCTTGATAACATATCTTTAAAAAGTTGAACATAAATTATTTGCAAATTGTTACGTAAATATTTCCTGTATGATTTTAAATTTTAATCTAATCATTTTTTCGTGTATTGGAGAGATTCCTCTATCATTATTATTTTACTATAAAGAAGAATACAATTTTATTTTTAAATTCAAGTATGTATAAATGTATATCTTTAAAAATGTATATCTTTAATACATCGTACTCGCTACTAATTGTTGTAATTTTACACATATAATTTCTTTACAAAGAAATAATGATCATATTCGAAACTTGAAGATGTCTTCAAAATTTCAGGTCAAACTCGGAGAATATTCCTACTGCATATACGTGCAGGTGTTTGACGACATTAGAAAAAGACTCGACTTTTTATAATGATCTTGTACTTTAATGATATTACGATCAGGATATTGTTATACTATGAAGCCTTATTGGATTATTCAGAACTTCGATGTAACACGTCGTAATCTTGTCTCGACGGGAGTCTCAACGGGTCTCGAACTTGAGAAAGCTAGTATCATTAGCTTCCGATATCGTGATACCAGAAATATCGCGATTCACATCGCGCGATTCTTTTTCAGTTCGCGTGCTTTTTACTGCTTTTTGTATTTTGACATACTTAGCTTTTCGTCGTGAAACTATAAATTTATTATCGATGCGAGAGCACGGACATTCGGTCGAATTTAATTATGGTCAAGTGGAGATAGGTAGCCTTCAACTTTCGGATAAGTAAACTGAATTTGCAACCTGTAATGCACATAGTCTCTCTAGAACTGTGTATTGCCCGAGTTGATGGGGCAATGGGTTCTCCGTAAATTACTATTTGAATTTCGAATACGCGTGTGTGTGTGGATATGATAGATATGAACCAGTTTCACCCTTTCAAAGTTTTTAATATTGAATTAATTGAATATAATTACACGTATATATTAAAATATTCAGAGACTTTTATAATACATCATATTTATTTATTTTTTTTTTTTTCATTACCGGCTACAATGTTATTGAATGCGTTTTATGAATAATGGGAATTTATGAGATACTCCGTCCAACAATTCCAGAAAATTTAACAGTAGTCAGCAGTATGTTTTATTTATTATCATGCTTTGTGTCCGTGTACTAGTATAATTTAAAATGCTTTATAGAGATCGCACATATGCTCGCGAAACAGTTCACAATCGAGTTCACAGCTGCTGCATTATGCGATCGTTCGTCAAAACGGTATGCACATTTTCCCGGTGCATTTTAGCGCGCGAAAGTGGTCCTTCTTCCGACAATAATGGTTACATTGATAAAATGGTAAAAGTTCGCAGTACAGTTGCGCAATGCGAATCAGTGTCGGCGTTTTTTTTCGCGTACGATTATTTTTCAAGCGCAATAATCATAATAATTTACAGAGAATTTGTATCGAGAATTCGCACCTGCACGCATAAAGCCTAAAGCGTTCAATCCGCTTTTAAATTGAAACGTATAAGTGATGGAACTTCGGCAACCAATTTCCGTCGTGTCGCGTGCGGCGGTACTGATGTCAAAAAAAGTTGCACGAATGTACTTCGTGAACTTCACTGAGGTGGACGAACACGTTTAAAAATATGACTCGGTGAAATTTCCAATGCAAAATGCGGAAAAACGTTATCTCGACGTTATTCGTGCCACTGATCGAATTAAACAGAATTGTGTCGGAATAACTTAACGTTTGCCATCGTTTCTCCCTTTCCCTTTCTCTCTTTTTTTATTTGCAAAGATAATTTAATCCTTTTTTATTTCCATATTTTTATAACATCATTGAAAATTAAAAACTAACCAATAAAACGATATGTTACGGGTATGAAACGATATTTTTTAACAGAACGTAATCCTGAAGATTTTCAGAAATTCTGCAGTTCTGGACTGCCAGTGCTAATAAAAATATCGACGATCAAAGCGGCCTCGGTCGATCGGGGCGTCACGCACTTTTCCCGTGCGCCAAACTGTCTATAGCTATAACTTTATCGAAATTCCCGGAAACCGTAACATCCCCGAGAATAAAAAACAAAAATTTGCCGAATTCCACTGAGGTCCAACGTTCCATGTTTCATGGAAAAAAATCGATTGACACCAAAAGCATTCGATGTCACAGCGTAAAAGTTACATCTACCTCGATTTATCATCGATAACATCGATCATATTTCGCACGGAAATTCTCGTTGCAAACTTATTGATACCTTTCTAGCCTGCAGTTGTAATCCCTTTCATTCTCTATCCCGTTTTGTTATTTATCGACAAATGAAATTTTTCTCTCTCTCTCTCTCTCTCTCTCTCTCTCTCTCCCTCTCATAATGTCAATTTGAAATAGTCTACAG